CCCCCCCCCCCCCCCCCACAGGATTTACATTGATAGGTGCATTAGTCACTTGGATTTTCCACCAAAAATCTAGCATTCAGGTAGCCTGCGTAGCGGCTATCAGAAAAAGGACAGCCTGCACGAAACCCCATGCTTTGCCGTATTTACTCGTTCTCTCAGAGGATATTGGGTGGATATGCTAATTTATGCTAAAATTCATACAAATACGGCGGATGTATTATTGAGAGGCGTTTCTAGCCACAATTTACGGTTCAACAATCAAGGTATTTACGAACTTGGTTCACGAAGCTCTAGAGATATTGACTGTGATGTCTTTGTTGGATTGCTGTCTGTTAGCAGTGCCTTTTTCACAAGCGTGTTCATTTTCATCAATTCATCGACGACAAATAGATTTTTTCTTCATGATTTTGTAGCTAATAATTTTGTGCCAGGAGAGAATTGCTGTAAATGCTTATGTCTTATGAACAGGACTTGCTCTCTCTGAAGTGATGGCTTTAGACACCTTTAATATTCTCTTCTCTGCATCGCTCGAAACTTTAATAACATTTAATACATCACGGTTGACCGCTGTCGAAACTATAAATTATATTTGTATGTGTGCTAGAAAGCTACGAAATATCGTAGATATACGGATTGCAAACTACTTGTGACAACGATGGAGATTGCCCTAGGCCTAGCACTATTCCCACAGACTTCAATTTTCTTTAGCCGACATCCGTATATTATTTCGTTTTGAAATTTGCGAACATACAGCAATCTATATTCATATTTCATTTTGACAAGTAAATTTGCAAACGTAAACAATCTGTGTGATTGGCCAATTTTGAATTTTGACATCTGTTTAAAGTGGGCGTAGCCCGCAGGCTAAGTGGGTGGAAATGGCAAAGCATGGGGTTTCGTGCAGGCTCTACTTTCCCTGAGAGCCGCTGTGCAGGCTAGCATTCAGGTTCAAACAAGTGAAGTACAAAAAACATCTTTCAAGTTTAAAATAATAGAGTAGGGCACATTGGGGTGCAATGCAACTTATTATGTTAATAACTCTCGTTCAAATAATGACATATCAGTCGACTGTGATTATATTAGAACACTTTACTAAATCAAAATAAAATCTTCAAAACAAAAATAATACATGTAGAAAGACATATAGTTGGAACAAATATTGTTCAAGCAACCACATATACATAACATGAAAACCTCTGTGCTGTACACACAATAAACACACTTAATAAAACGAAATACCCAAAAAAGTTAAAGCACTATAAACAGGTTGAGGTTCTATTATGATTGAGGATTAAAAAATTCCATTTTCATGTAATGAATAATTAAGGCCACGTAATAACTCGGAATATAATAACCTGTCACCTATACTTTGATATCGTTAAAGAGAACTCGATAACTATAACATACCATTTTCTTTGTATCGCTGTCTTCTGGTCGCCGTTGTTTAATAGACCTAGGTGAATTTCTAGGTGAACTTGTCCATGAAGTATGACTTGTCTCTCTTGCCTTTAATACATGTCTTGGCGAAGCCTCTCCGCCAGTGACAAGTGACCTATCACTTCCACTAGACATTATAATATCCGTCTATTCCAGCTTCATGTTTCAGATAAAATTAAGTTAAACTGTAAACCAAGGTTTTCCATGAAACAACAAAAATGAACAACACATTCATGTAATAATTTTGATGTATGATATCATTTTCTTCGATTGCGATCAAAACGTTCGGACTGGGAACGACAACTGTGACGACACTTTGACACTGATCTCTGAACTTGAACTGTGATTTAATAGACTGGAGTGACTTCCGATCCACCAGCGGTTGGAACGAGGTTGCCAGCGGTCCAGCACCCTCGCCATCCAGGCGCTTTAAATAATTATAATACATGAAGTATTCAGGAAGGCAGGCGACGCGCGAAGGGGCTGTTGGGAAGGATGCGTACTCTTCCCATCAACCCCTTCGCCCTTCTCCGCCACTACAATACTTCGTGTATTAAAAACTCGCCATATGCGCATCGCTGTTTTTTTTTACAAAGAGGCGCCTGGGCTCTAGTCTAATTAGCTAGCTTTTCTCACGATGACGAATATCCGCCATTTTTGGGGACAATTAAAACAAGGTGAAAAGCAATTTTTCAAAATAAACTAGTCTAACCATTTACAAAGCAAATTTACCATCATTCGTCCAAAAAAATATAACACGTCGCTGTTATGTGGACATATCCGATCTCGTAGACTTCGGCTGAAATGCCACCCAAAAATGGCGGCGTGAGAAAGGCTAATTCATAAGCCCACTTGGCCCCACTACCCGCTATCCATTAACCCTCCCCTCTCCAATAAATTCCCCTCCTCAAACGTTCGTACGCGGCGTGAAATTAAATAAGCCCGGGGATACTACACAGAGGTTTTTAATACTCCATTTGAGAAGCGACAGAGTAGGTAATAGACTTGCTACAATTCGTCGACTCGTATTATTTAGCTGGGCAGTTGAGCTCAAATTGTTACATTGCGATACGATGCAATTGTTACATTGCAATGTGAGTCGACTTGTAGCACGCCTAGCTAGCAATTATGTAGAATTGCTGTCATCTACAGCGAGATATATCCTGCATAGCATATAGGAGTACGAGTCCGAAAATTGTTTTCGTGCTAAATTTTGAAATTCGATTCGTTTCCACTGGGGAAGTTTAGGTGTTTAGAAAATTTTCGAACGCTTTAAATTTCTTGGACTACATATTTCTTGCGTTTTCGACTATTATCTTACATACAGTATTTCTTCCTTTTAATTCTATCCCCCCCTCCCCCCTCCCCGTGCCGCTGCGTACCCCAATACAACTATGTACTGTCAGAGGCGTAGCCAAGATTTTTGGTCAAGGGGGGGGGGGGCAGCAAAAACCCAGGTGGGGCCAAGCCGCCAGTGACTCGAGACGCAAAGTTCGCACAAGGAATTCTGTGCAGTGCTGGGTAAAATTAATTAACATTAAGCGTTAAAAATTCACTGGTAAAAAACCCAGATTGGTTTAAACTTCATCTAACCCTCATTTAATACATATTGAAATAATTAGCCGGGTTAGAAAAGGTATGTGTTTCAAGCTGTGTTCCGCAAATAAGCGAACAAGATTTCAGGTCTCACACTGATGCGTAGCAAAATATATTCTACAGAATATTTTGCATTATTGACAGCATGAAGCTATATATAACTCAAGGATTCCCTTTTTATACAATACATTTTATCAGGGGGAGGGGCAACATTTTGCCAGGGGGGCGGGTCCCCCAGCCCAAGTCCTGGTTACGCTTCTGTGTACTGTTGAAATCATCATTAGGTAGCGTGCAAGACGTGACAATGACAAATTGAAACTTCGTCTCCAGCCTGTTTTTCACTTTAGCCATAATGTACCGAGCCGTATTGTAGCGTTTTCGTTCGTGTAATAAATAGGCTACTACTGTCGCTGTGTTTCAATACGAGTACCGGATATCCCGACCGAATTCCTCGTAATTTCATTCAATTAATTTAAATTAGTAGCCCTCAAAAAGCACGGGATAGTGATCGTCCTGTTTATTACAAATTTCCTATAAATTAATTGTGCAATTTTCCTAGTTCCAGCTCTTCAAGGGGATTGGGGACAGACGTCATTGTTGCCTAGTGTCATTACTTGGCCAATTCTTAACCCTAAGGATTGCCCCTATCTTCGAGCACTAACTTGAAAAACATTTTCAAAATTAATTGGGGGTCACAAGACGTCGGGAAAAAAAACGAGCGCCCCCCTAAATGGTCGAGTGGTGGTCGAAGGAGTCGCATCATCATTTCTCACAGTGACATCAGGGGTTCCATAACTCACAAGGCATTTTTGATCTATGCAAACGATCTTCCAAACACGGCTAACCATAGCATAGTCTCAATGTTTGCTGACGACAGCAAATGCTACCGAGAAATTTCTCAGCCACGAGATAGAGATCTCCTCCACGCTGACTTGAAACTCCTCCATCAATGGTCGTCTACGTGGGATTTAAAGTTTAACACCAACAAATTAAATGTGTCGCTCTCCAATTTTCTCGAAAGAAATCCTCAGTGCCACCACAAGAATACCTCCTTAACCAACAACCGCCGGATAATTTTTTCCGCTACTCAGAACGATTTAGTCATTCTTGTTAGCAACAACTTGAAATGGTCCCCACACTCGCTAAAGCCAATAAAATCGTCGCTAAAGCCAATAAAATGCTTCGGTTTCTATGACGGAATTGCTTCCACCTTACTGACGTCAAAGTTCGCCGCCTGCTATATTACTTATATTTGTCACTGGTTCGTTCACTTGTCGTTTGGTTGTGAACTCTGGGCACCTCAACTTTCCGCCTGCTACTTCGGCTTGGCTAGTCAAAAAAAGCAAAAATGCCTCTTGCGCGGGAGGAGAGTAACGTCGAGCTACCAAGTTTATTCTTCAGGACTATGAATCGTCCTACGGCGTTGATCGCTTGAAAAAACTTAATCTAATCCCTCTTTCATACTGGCATGAAATTAAAGATATCATGTTCTAGCTTCTACAAATGCAAATCCGGGATGTACGAACATGACATTAATCAGTCTCTCCATCATTCCACCCCGATTTTTTTTTCCACCCTAATTTTTTTTTATTTTCGTCGTCCAAATCTGTGTAAAACGTCTGTCTTCAGAAACTCGTACTTTAACAGAATTGTATTTTTAGGGAACTGATAACTTGCCTTCAGATATCAAATCATCCTCTTCCGTCTCTATACTTAAATCTAAACTATTATTAATATCTATATTATACGAATAAACTTAAGTACTTAACTATACTTTCGAGGTAGACCATCCTAGAACTTGAAAAACTTTGTGTAGTAAGTGTCGTTCTTTATAAATGCAATTCCTATTATCCTATATAATTTTTAATAATTAATATTTAAGTGTTTTTGTATTATGTATGATATGTAATATTGTAATAATGTAATTCGTAAAGCCCTGGGCAAACTAGGAAACATTGTTGCGGAAACATTGTTTCCTACCAATGTTTCGCCATGTTTCTCAGAGACCAGAGTGGGCAAACACTAGGAAACATCAGCGAGAAACATTAGCGCTCAGGGTAAATTAGTCCTTGTATTCTTCTCTGTCGATGCCAAATTCCTTCAACTTGTTGTCAATCTCAGCATAAACCTTTTCTTTCTTTCCGTAATCTGTTTGAGTATTTTACATTACCGACATCCCACAAACAGTTTCTTGCTTCATACAAACTTATCAGCTTCTCTGTTTTGGTATCTTTCCAAACTCGCTCGCTTAATTTTAACATTTTTTTATTGCTTTGTTCGTTTGGAACAACTGCTGTGACCTCCGTACTTTCAGCCATTCTTTCGTGTTGTTTGTTTTGCGCATGCTTTTATCTGGAAAAAATTTTCGCGCTGGAAACATATGGGCAAACAGGGAAACAAAATTTCCGCAACAAAAATTACACTTGGAAAACATCAAAAGTTTCTGAATTGGGTAGGAAACATTTTTGCTTCCCGTGAAGCAAATTTTGTTTCCGCAACAATGTTTCCATGGGTGGGCAAACAAGGAAACATTTGAGGAAACACTACAAATCACGAATGTTTCCGCAACAATTAATGTTTCCTAGTTTGCCCCAGGGCTTAATTCTTTGGTGGGACTTAATTAGGAACTTATGTTCTGACCATCAATCATACGATTGCATCGGTAAAGTTAATAAAAAATAAATTGTCGCCTATGGGGGGGGGGGGGGGGGGGGAGTTAAGAGAGTGCCAGATGCCTACTACATGCCCGAAGGGTTTCGTCAACAATTCTAGAATTAGGAAAAAACTTTGCGAATGCACAAACGAGATACATGCGGCACAATGATGACCAATGATATGGTAATCTATTTGCCTTTACGACGCCGAAACATTCCACCACTGACGACTCTATATCTGTTGCTCTTTAAAGCCAAAATTTAAAAATATGAAAATGCGACTCATAAAAACAATTAAGTTAAAAAGCAAATTTGTAATATATTACTACAAATTAATTTAATCATAAACAATTAACAAACATTGTAAATATATATATATATATAAATAAACAGCTAAAGAAAAATTGAATGCTATAATTACTCATAATATATAATACAAGCTTTATCACTCTGAGTATATCACTTGATGAAATTGCCACGTGTTTATTTAGTCTTCACGTTTGTTTTTATAGCAGGTTTTAATATGTAGAAGTGTACGATTCAAAGGCTGTCCTAGTGAAACTTACATCCATTTCATGCAATCGCTTCTTGTGAAATGTCACAAATTCTTTTTGTCTTTCATGAACAAATGCTCTACCATTTGCGATACGTCGTCTATTTGGAATAACCACTATATTGTCTTTTGTTCGCTTCTTGTCGTCATCTGATAAAAATTTTCCAAACTTTCGCGCCTTCACACGTTTTTTAAGTGGAGGTAAACGAGATAGTGCACAATGAAGGGCGGCCTTACTCGATTCACGTTCACTGTGAGTTCTAGGTGGAATTTCTCCAGCTAGAAATAGTTTCTTTTGTCTGGTTTTTAATCCTTCTGGAACCATAACAACTTGTTTGTGTCCAATTGTGTCTATCTTTCTTATCAATCTCGTATCATTGATAATTTCCCTTCTTTGTTGGGATTCATCGTCCACCACTTCATTTAGAGAAAAATTCTTTAGTGGATCGGAGTCATCTGATATATTTTCATCTCCACAATGTTCCAGCAAACTTTCCACCATTTTTGCTACTTCTTTATCATCTGCTTTCATTTTTAGTTTATTCTTCTCCCTCTCGATTTTCTCATTAAGTCTATCGACTTTACTTCTTAAATTTCGTATAGCTTGTGGTTCCCAATCTGACGGGAAGTGTTTATCAGGAAAGGAATCCTTTAAGTCTTCGTATTCTTGAAGGTTATCAAACAGGCGACTTTTTATGTTCGAAAGTTCGTATTCAAGACGTTGTATACCGGATTCGTTTCGTTTATTAATCGAAAAAGAAGCTCTTCTGTCAAGATTTTTCCCACCTTTGGCATTACGTAGCCAATTCGAGGAGAAACGTTTCAATTTTGTATGATGATACAGCATATTATTGTCAAACGTTTTCTTTCCGTTCTGTTCCGTGCGATTGTCAGATCGGGGTAGTTCTGCATTGAATATATCTCCATCTGTTGATACATTATGTTGGTCTTCTTTGTCTGGGGGATATCTATCTTCAATATCGGATGAAAATCTCACTTTTCTTGGCGAAAACTGTTCCGCCATTAAATTTTCTGGATCGTAAAGAACGGAATTGTTCAGCAATTTTAGAGTGGATTGACATGCGTTTATCCTAATCGTATCCATAAATATATACCGTTTAAATATATAATGGCTTGGTTACTATGACAACATTAAACAAAATTTATATCTAGGTAACCGACCTGCATGCCAATAAGATATATGAATATAGTAGTAAATTCAACCCGCAAAATTTATACTATAATGTTTAATATATAATCTAAGGAGCCTGTCCACTATGAGTATAAATATAACATTGTAAAATGTAAACAGACCATTAGAAAGTTATTAAACTTAAAAAGGCAAGTAATAAGATTCAAATAACTATATATTAAATGTGAATTTAAAACAATTAATCAATATGCAGGTGAAAGCTCTCAGCAGCATATGCTGTAACACAGTGGAATAAATTATAAATAATTTAAAAGTGGTTTTGGGCACTAGCAGAAGCTATATTGTTATAACATAATCTTTGATGACTAAGTATCATTTTTTCATTTAGCTATCAACAACAAAAGGCAACACTCTTGACTTTGCATGCATGACTCCATAAAATCATTTACAATTACAGTCACAGAAACAAACTGGTTTACACTTATATTAAGAGATATATGGGTTAAATTTTAGATAAAAAATAAGGAAAACACTTCCCCCTGGCTGCGCCTTCATGGCTATTTATATTAAATATGCATTATAAATATGCATTTATACTAACCGTTCCCATATATACTATAAGCCAGAAATCCAAGGTATTGTCATACTCGGCGGCATGTTTAGGAACGAAATTAACGTAATGGAAGCTTTTCTGTAGCCATGCAAGAAAATATAAATAATACGGCTTTCCAGTGTTAATTTGGCAGTAGCTACAACAAAATTTAAAGTATGATGAATGAAATTGTGCATGTTCTATATATTATACAAGGAATTGGTATACCGCAAGGGAAGTGCTGCCGCACTCTCGACGTTATCGGTGAATAAAAACCGAGACGAAGTCGAGGTTTTTATTCACGATAATCACCGAGCCTGAGGTGAATAATTGTTTCAGTATAATTTCATAGGTGATTATTTGGAAAAAAATAAAAAAATGCACATTTCTTCGTCTTTTAATTGACAAAACGGCTTCGGCCGCCATTTTGAAAATCGCTTAGGTGATTATCGCGTAATAATCACCTCAACGGTAACCAATCAGCGTGGAGAATTTTCAATAATCACCTATGTAATTATACTAAATAATATTATACCTCAAATTGTTCAACAACAAAAAACAGCATTTGCAGCATGTGACGCTGTGATCTTTACCGTATCACGGACGTGCTGGGGTCTTGAAAAGGACGACGAATGAGCAACGTCTGATGAGGCCCAGGCCCAGTGACGGATGGATCAAGATTGAGGTGGGGGTATTATTGATCAGGCATGAAACATTTCAGTCACTCAGTAATTAATCTTTTTACCCAAAACTGTTGGAGAGTTCGAATTAATTTAATGTACCGTAATTTGTTAAATTTTTCGAATTTTCGGTAATATTTTCGTAAATTTAGATTTTTAAAATATATCTTGATTTTCAAAATTAAAATCTATATTTTTTATCTTTTCCAATGTTTTAATTTTAGGGGCCCATGATGGCAGGGGGCCCACAACAAGTTCTCGGCATTGGCTCGTCCCTAGCCAGCACGTCCCTGTACCGTATTTCTGTCACTGAAGGTACAGCGTAGGATGTTGTATGACATCTCACGGCAGATCTGCCGCGTGGGATATTATATAGTATCTCACTCTCGCTGTAATAGCGCGGTTATAGCATAAATGTGGCGTTCTCGTTCGTAAAAATTTCTTACTATAACTAAAGATCTATACGTGAATATTAGGAAGTATGCTACCTTCAATGATCCAAATGACACAGGTTCAAATATTTTAAAGGAGAAACGTCAAAACCTCAGGTATAAATACAAAATTAAACACTGTATTCGCTTAGTTATTCAGCAAGTTTATTCTCAACTTAGTGGGTTCTTTAATTCTCGGTATAATATAATATCATTTATAGACCCTCCGCTCGGGGGATTCGGCGAAATATTACCCTCAGTGATGATATCATCACTTCGGGTAATATTTTGCGGCCGAATCCCCCACGGTCCGGGTCTATAAATCATATATCCTGTTCAGAACTATTGTTTTTCCAGCATGAGCTCCACCTTTGAATTTACTATATGTATAAATTCTTAAACACGTCCGAATTTATCATTATGATAAATTGGCGGCACATTTTGAATTTATCGTAATAATAAATTCGCGGCACCTAACACTAACCCCAACCCAGAACCCTAACCACTAACCCCTAACCCTAACTTTTTAAACTTTTTTTAAAATCTAACTTTTTAAACTTTTTTTGCTTTTTAAAACTCATTTAAAACTTTTTTAAAAACCATTTTTTTGAAAATAGTGGAAATCTCCCCACCCCCTCGCGATTGGCCTCCCTTTTAGTCTTGCCTAATGCTTGTGGTTTTATGATTAACTCTATTGATAAATTCAAAATGTGCAGCTAATTTATCATAATGATAAATTCGGACGTGTTTAAGAATTTACTCATATGGTAAATTCAAAGGTGGAGCTCATGTTGTGTTTTTCGTAAAAAAACTCCACTGGGATGGGTTTTTTAAAGACGTTTATCACCTTTACAAAAACTTGTTTCTTTACAAAACTTCTTTCTTCTTTCTCGACATAAAATGTTTTTGCAAACTTTGTTGGAAAAAAACCAATTTGCACTCCCTGCAACCGCGCGAAATTCAGATATGGTATCTTGTCCTCTCATCATATGCCCAGGACGGAGGCTGCGGATGCAGCAGCGGTCCAGGTGCTTGATGTGTCTCCTATGCAAGGTCCAGGTCAGGCTAACAAGAAGGTTGGTGGAGACGACTGTCCTGCTTATCTTGAGTTTTGTTAACTGTCAAATCATGTGGTACCTGATCAGTGTCGAGAGGCTGCGCTCATGCATGCAGATCCTCCTCTATGTTCACGACCCCTTGGCTAGGGAACTGTCGTTGGGATCATGGTGTCGAGTTACAGAAAGGCCGTGTTTCGTCGAATGTTTTCGAAAAGTATTCTATATAGTTCATGATTTATATAGTTACATCCAATTTGGCAAAAATATCTTCGTCTTTTGAAACCCGAGGTAATGGCTGCAAAAAAACCATCTACACTTATATTCTATAAGATCCTTCCAAAAAGTGGTGGGGGGAATTCTTCCTCAATTTTGTAGCTAAGGAAAATGCTTACGTAATCTACCGAAATATATAAAAAGAAAAAAGGCTAACACTTATATCGATTATTATTTATAGAATTAGTATATATTTACAGTTTTTTAATTTTCAGTAATAAGTACATAATTATATTGCAGTTTAGTAACAATATTTAATATTTATTGAAAATAATTCAAGAGTTTTGATTGGCTAAGAGCTGTCGGTATAATCGTCATATCCGCTCGGTAGCTACCCAAATTTGGCGTTATGACATCACCGTGGAATATTGAAAACAAATATACCACGTTTGACGTAATTTTGTGGTATATTGAAAAACAATGTAACATAAAAAGGTAATATGCATGCTATGGCGTCACGCTAATTTATACGGCTTATGCCAAAAGCGGGAAAATAGATAGATAGATAGATAGATAGATAGATTAATATTAACACATAGCAGCCAATAAGGCTGAATTGCGTGCCAAATTTTACAAGAGAAATTATTAAAATTAGTTAATTCTATATTTACAGAAGTTTAAAATTACATTACAATTTATAATTCTATATTACAGAAGTTTAAAGTTACATTACAAATTAGCCATGAAACTAGTAAATTTCTAAAAATTGAATATCAGAATTGATTGTCAGTTAATATTATTGATATGCCTTTTAGATGAAAGGAAAGAGCTGTTGCTAAATCTGTTCGTTTTGGTCTGAGGAACAACAAAAGACCTTGAGTGTCTAAGGTCGTAATTTGGAAAGTATCTAGATGGTATATGATTATGCATATTAGCTGCAGTGGTGTTATGGTGATTTCATAAAACAGTTTCTCACATGCATCCACATGCCTGTCACTTAATGGCTTGATGCCCGATTTTTGTAAACAATCCGCATAACCTGTCAGTGGATAGATGATTGATAAAACACGCTTTTGAACCCGTTCCAGGGCATTAGATAAGTAGGAAGGAAGGGCGAAGTGAAAAACTTGACAGCTGAATTCCATGACTGGTCTGACGCAGGTAGTGTTGGTTCCATTTTAGGTCTTTAGAAATTGCCAAACCTAGGATTATTGCGTGGTTCACTGTCTCGATTTGGCCTGAGATGATCTTAAGGCGCGGAAATTCTTTCTCAGGTTTTGTAAAACTGATAACAAGTTCCTTGCACTTGGAGGCATGTAATTGCATCTTGTTTTCTAGAGACCAATTTTGAACACAATCGACTGTATCTTGAATATTACTGGGTGTGTTGATGTAAATAATTTCAGATACCGTAGCATCATCGATGTATTTCCATCGCTCATGATGTGGGGGGCGTAGGTCATTTATCATTAGGATGAATAACCAAGGTCCCAATTTGGTTCCTTGAGGGACACCGGAAGGAATGTCAATCCATTCAGACATACAGTCTCTTGCAAGTTTCACCCGTTGTTGTCTGTTCATCAGAAAGTCAATTACCCACTGCTTAATGAAATTTGGCATTGGCAATTGGATGATTTTCGTGGCTAAGATCTTATGATCAATCAAGTCGAAGGCCTTTTTATAGTCAAAAAGAACCACTCTTACAGCGTTTCCAGTTCCATCTGTGGCTTGAGTCCACGCATGAACCATAGAAATTAAGGATCGAGGGATGCCACCAAATTGAAAAGGATCAATTGACGACAACACTGCTGGAGCGATATATTTTTCAACAACAAACTCTTCTGCAAGTTTAGACAGAACCGGAGTTAACGAAATAGGTCGGAGCTGTTTGCTTATG